AACACAGAAGGGAGGGCAAGTAGCTTGTTTAACGAAGATACTAGGAAAACTGAGTATCCACTTGCAGAAGATTGAAACTAGATCCCAACCTCTCGTTTTGTACCAAAATCAGTTCAAGATGGATCAAAGACCTAGGCATAATCCCCAAGACAGTGAAACTTCTAAAGGTAAACACGGGGCAACACTTGAAGCCATCAGCGCAGGAGAAGGCTTCTGACTAGGGGTCCAGTAGCACAGAAACAGTAGCAAGGATTAGCAAACAGGACTATATCAAATTTAAAGGGTTTTGAACTGTAAGAGAAACAAGGAACAGAGTGAAGAGAGAGCCTTTGGAATAGGAGAAAACCTTTATCCTACTCTTCCAACAGAGGATTAACATAACAGTATATATATAAAATACAAAATTTTAACAAGAAAATTAAGTAGTCTAATCGATAAATGGGCAAATGAACTGAAAAGACACTTCCCAACACAAGCACAAATGACCAATGAATACGTGAAAATATTACCACCTTGAGCCCTGGGGAAAATGCAAGTCAAAATGACGCTGATACCCATCTCACCCAATCAGAATGGGATTCATCAGGGATGCACAAAATCAGTAAGCTTCTCCTCTGGAGGGTTAATAACATAAGTTTGCAGACCAAAAAATTAGAGAAAAAGAAGGCCTACAAGGACAGCCAACATTTTGGCCTTAACCCTTCAAGGTCAGTGAGGACTCAGGACATAAGCAAACCTGTGCTGTGACATCCTGTGACTCAGTGGTGTCCCAAATTTTCTGATTAAGGAGATTATGGGGCCACAGAGGAAAGTGATCAATGATGTAGAATGTGCCTAAGGAGAGTCACCTGGAGAGAAAACGTTCTCTGAGGCTTTCACAGAGAGCCAATTGGTCAAGCAATGGCCATGACTCATCTACATGGCTGACACTGACAAAGGATCTACAGAATACGGTACAGGATTTCAAGTTAAATCCTAAGGGGATCTGACTAATCTTGGCAGATCCAAAAGTTACATTTCTTGTTATATAGGTCTTGCTTTATCTTGGTCTTAACCATCCAGTAGAAAAGTATAAGCACGAGGTATAAAAAGTAAAGCCATATTAATATGCTGAGCTGTAAAAGACTCAAGTCAACAACTTCTGACATTGCCAGTCCTATGGATAACCCACTACTATTATGGACTACTGGACTATAATTGGAATATTTTGCTGAATTCACACAGCTATAATATTTAAATGACAATGGAATATGCTTCTCTGACAATACTAAACAAAAAAGATATAAATGAAGAACCATTATATATATATAACTATTTTATATACATATATATATAATAGTTAAGATAGATATACAGCTACTTTTTCTTAGTTCAATGAGAAGGAAGATTTGTACTAATAGTGTTTATACAAGATATGTCTGCATCTTGTACTATGAATAACTACTATAAAGACAGCAATATGCAATGTATTAATTATTGTAACTGTCTTACTAACCTGTTTTGAGACTGTCTCATTGCTATTTCGTTCTCAATAAAATTAATTAAAACAATAAAAAAATGCTGGCAGGGGCCACCCTCCCTTGTGCAATGTACATTATACAGCCACTATGAAAATCCATACAGGGCTGGTGAGATGGCTCAGTGGTCTAAAGCACCTACTTGGAACAAGCTTAGCAAAGCACAGGGACCGTGGTTCAATCCCCCAGCACCACATGCCAGCCAGCCCGCCCCCTGGTGGCTGAGCTGGCCACACACACACACACACACACACACACACACATACATAAATAAAAAAAAAAAAGAAAGAAAATCCATACAGAAGATCCTCAAAAACTAAAAACAGAGCTATCATTTGATCCAGATACTCTGCTTTTTGGTATATCTCCAGAGCAATTTAAGTCAGTGTACTATGAGGATATGTGTATGCTCATGTTAATTACAGCTTAGTTCATAATAGCCAAGACATGAAACCAGGCTAGAACCCCATCAACAGGTGAATGAATAAAGAATATGTAGTGTTTATTTGCACTGATCAATACTTCAGCCATACGGAAGAACAAAATGCTGTTATTTTGTGAACAATGAATAGATCCAAAAGCCATCATGTTGAGCAACAAAGGCCAGAGTTGGAAATACAGATACCCCGTGTTTTCCCTAACATGTGGAATCTAAAAACTAGAACAAGAAAGTAGAGGGAGACTACTAGTAGACAAGAGGAAGGAAACAAGAGAGATAGGGTGAGAAGGTGGGAAGGCAGGCGATGAGAAGATGGCTACGAGATGAATATGCTCTACAGACTGAAACTTGGGCCCCAGTGTGAAACTGAGTGGAAGGCTGGGCAAGGTGGGTAGAGGAGGGGGCCAAGGAATGGTGAAGGTATGTTATGTGCATATATAAACATGTCACAATGAAAACTATTAATTGGGATGATTAATTGTTTTTTGTATCAAGAATCCAACTCATGACCTTGTGCTTGCCAGGCAGGCAAGCACTGTGCCACTGAGCTATGTCCCTGGCCCAGCATAACTAATTTTCAAGGGAGTAAAAAAATTAAAGGTTCAGAAAGCAAAAAAAAAAAAAAGTAATATGCATGATATAAAAATGGTCAACTAATTTATGAAAAAATTGATCAACTTCATCATTCATTAGGAAAATGCTGATCAAAATCACAATGAGATATTGTTTCAAACCTATGAGGATGACAGAAGTGAAACAAAGACAATAGCCAGCACTGGTGAGGATATGGAGAAAAATGCAACCCCAAGTAGTTGTACCAATGAAAGTTTTAGCAATTCCTCAAACATCCAATGCTGAGTTAGCCAGCAGGTACACTCCTGTAGGTGCAAGCGAGCTAGAAATATGTGTCTGCACAGTGACTTGCATATCCATTGTTCATGGCATCACTCATTGCTATGGGGACACCACCACATACCCATCAAATGTGGCATATCCATACAATGGAATACAATTCCATTATACAAAGCAATAGAATACTAAGACATAACACATGTGAATGCTAAAGTTACAATGCTAAGTGAAAACAGTCATTCAGAAAAGGCCAGATACTCTGGGCATTGTTTTATTAATATGAAATATCCAGGATAAGCAAATACATAGATGGAAAGAGGTGAGGAGGTGCCAGGGATTGGAAGTGGGTGAACAACTGCTAATAGGTACAGGGATTCTTTTTAAGGTGATGAAAGATTCTCCAATCAGATAGTGGTAACAAAGTTACCAACTGGATCTTCAAACATCCACAGAATTATAGATTGCAGTAGGGTGAGTTTTATGGTGTGTGAAACATCTCCACAAAGCTCAAGCACTGTGGGAGCCAGTGTGGAGATTTCTCAAAACATAAAGATCAGAGGTCCCAATCAACCGATCTATTCCCATTCTGGGTATTTTTCCAGAACTGAAGACATCATAATACAGCAATACATGTGCACCCGTGTTTCTAGCAGCATAATATATAATAGCTAAATTGCAGAAACAACCCAGATACCCATCAACTGAGGTACGGATAAGAAGATGTGGTATTTTTACACAATGGAGCATTACTCAGCTATAATAAAAAGATAGACTTGAAGCTTTTGTAGGCAAAAGGATGTAACTAGAGACAGACCATACTCACAAGTGAAATAAATCAGACTCATGTGTAAATATCATATTGTCTCCCTAGTGTAAGAAACTGAAAGAGTAAATAAAATCTGAAAAGTACAATAGATATGGTGAAAGGGAAAGAAACTGCTCAAAAGGAAAGAACAACTGAGATGAGAGAAAGGAGAAATGAAAGAAGAAAAGCGGATATATATATATATATATATATATATATATCACTAATTGTACTACTAATTTTTATTAGTTCTTTGAGAGAAACGGTTAGTGCTTATATTTGATCAACTTTGCATGCCTTGTAATCTGAGCAACTACTTTGATGATAAAAACATGTAATATAATAACCAATGTTAATTTCCATCATCTTGTTTTGAAATTCTCTGTCACTTTTATTGGATGTTTTTGCTTTAAAATTTTTCTATAAAGCTGTTACTTTTTAAAAGGCCCCACCCCATTTCTAGAGCATGAGCAAGAAGGGACAAGCGTAGCTCTATTTATTATGGTTTGCTTTATTGAACTTCACAGATGCTGAGCAATTTACAAACTGAAGTGTTGTGACAATCATATATCGATCGAGTCTGTGAGCATGTGCACATTTTGTGTTTCTGTCACATTTCAGTAATACTTGTAATTTCTTCAGACATTTTTGTCATTATTACATCTGTTCTGGTCATCAGTGGTCTTTGCCAGTCTTTCTGGGCCGCATGCAATGAAATTACTGACACCTGCCTACCCCCTGTGTCTCTCCCCCTCGACCCTCCCCGCCCCCAACCCCTGAGGAAGTGACCAAGTCACGGCACCCTCATAATCGAACTTAATCAGTGTGAGTTGTTTCTCACAGATCAAGACACAGAACGGTTTCTTGGGATGGACTCTTCCTGGCGAAGGTGCTGTGCATACTGTTGAAACGATACTAAACAAGCTTAGTGGAGAAAAGCAGGGTGAGGTTGAACAGAATGCTCCAATTCAGAAAGAAGTTCTGTTGCAGGTAAAATGGAAGTTCTGTTCCAACAGCATCACATGATGCAGAAAAAATCTTTCATAAAATAAAGAGTTAACTGATAGAGCAAACTTCACTGCTCTCTTATTTTAGGAAATTGCATAGCAGGCATGATGGTGTGTGCCTGTCACCTCAGCACTCGGGAGGCTAAGGCGGGAGGATTACCGCAAGTCTGAGGTCAGGCTGGGTCTATGTAGTGAGTTCAGGACCAGCCTGAATTGTATAGTTTGATCTGCCCCTAAAAGAAAGAGGGAGGGAGAAAAGGAGGGGGAGAGGGAGGGAGAGAAGGAGGGTGGGGGAGAGAGGAGAGAGAGAGAGAGAGAGAGAGAGAGAGAGAGAGAGAGAGAGAGAAGCCACCAACATCCAGGCATAGTCCTTCTAGAAAGACTATGACACCGTGGTCTTCTAGTTAGGCATGCGCAGAGCTCTGGGTGTGCACTCACCATAAGCAACTAGTTTTTTAAAACAATAATCAGATAAGCAGGTAGGAAAAATGGAGGCCAAGTACACCCAGATAGAAACCATGGTTCCTGGGTAGTAGAAGGGGGCAGGGATCTGAGCAGAGATGGCATGCTGGATGTCCCGGAGCACTGGAGTGAAATCTGGGCTAGAGTGCTTCTCCATGGAATTGAGGAAAGCCTTCTGCACCTGGAGGTAGTCCTGCCCATAGTCCCTCAGCTGCTCTTGGGAGAGCTGGTCCAAGATGTCCTTTTCTTTCTTGGTCCAAACATCACTTATGCCTGTAATATCTGGGACATAAGAGGTTAAAAACAGGTCAGGTGCTGCAAGGCCTGGGAATGTTAGGAAAGAGGTGCTGGGAATTGGCCTCTGCTCGGAAGGGCGAGCATTTATGAGCACCTTATAAAAGTTGAGCTTCATGACGCCACTTATTTTTGTTTTTAATTCTACGGATAGAAGAGAACACACTTTTAAGACATAATCAGCCTTTGCGACCAGCAGCCGGATAAAGAGCAGAGCAGAGCTGACTTTGCGGCCCATCTTCCGCTCCTTCCCATGAGCCAACAGCCTCACCAGGAGGGTACACTCGTTTTGTCCGGTTCTGGGCCCTATGCAGCTAGAGTCATGTGCATTGCAGGTCAGCATCTTTGCTGGATATTATGAGCCACTTGTCTTTGTTTTCTTTGCTGCATAGGTTTCCAATACATAAATATGCCATAATTATTTATCCTACATCCTGTGATGGGCATGTGTATTGTTTTCAACTTGAGGCTGTTATAAATAGAGCTGCCACAGACATTCTAATACAGTATATGTCTTTTGGTGACTAGTGAATATATATAACATATAATATATTGTCTATAGTATAACATATATTACATATATTTTATTAATATATCTATGTAATATGCATATTTTATCAAATTAGAAGTATTAATTATAAATAAGTACTTATAGTTAAAATTAAATATATTAAAATATCTCTAGAATAATGCAGTTTTAAATTTTGAAATATATATTAGATATAATTTTAATATGATATAAATACATATTAAGGGCCAGCCAGATAGCTCAGTGGATTAAAGTGCCTGCAAACAGGCACAGGGGTCAGGGGTTCGATCCCTGGGCCTGCTGTGCCAGCCCTGCCCCCGGGGTACGTTGAGACAACAATTGAGACTGGGTGTGGTGGTGCACACATGTAATCCCAGCCCTTGGGAGGCTGTAAACAGGAGGGTCACTGCAAGTCCAATCTAGTAGTGAGACCCTGAACACCCTGTAGACCCTTCCCTAAAAAATACTATATATATATATATATATATATATATATATATATACATATATACTTAAATTATATGATTAAATATTAATATATTTTAATATGGTAACAATGTCTAATTATCTAAAATTAAATACTATATATTCACTTTATTTTTTTATATTCACTTTAAAATATACTAAGAATGCCTACTCAGCACATAGACTTTATTCTAAAGTAAATAAGGAGATGTGTGTATTTCTTACATTAATCTTCTCCAATTCCCTCCTTGATCATAATGCATAAATATAGAAGGCTCTGGTTTCATTTTATTTTACCAGAGAGAACAAAACCAAAAAAGATCAGATGCATGCATTGTGCAGGAATGAAATTTTCCCCCTTAGTAACGACACAGAGCCCTCTCTCCTGCTCAGTACTGACATCCTCAGCCGTGGAAGGCCACTGGTTACAGACCTGAACCCAAGCACGGGGAGCTGGCGGGAAGTCAGTTTCCCAACGTGCTTCCAGCTAATCTAAAGTCCACCACTGCAAGTGACTCTGCTAACACACCTGTGCAGTCTGCGTGTTTATACTCTGGCTTTATTTCTGTGATCCGAGTGCCCACAGTTCAAAGCTCATAGGGTGTGAATTTTGATAACTACAGTTGCATTACTCGGTACAAAGGCCGCAGCCACCTACTTTCCTCCTGCAGAGGGTGTGAGCGGGGTGGGGCGTGCCCAGGGATGAGCCTTTGTTTGCCAGCTCAGGTGACTCCTGGATACTAGGACTTCAGGGGAGCTGCTTAGGAAACCTAAGCTGCTGAAACCCAATGATACTCACGGAAATGGAGACATGGTTTCAATGGCTTCCTTCTTTTCATAAAAGCACAACACTGTACCTAAAGAAATTGTTACCATGGCAATTTCTCTAGTGGTTCTGATTTTTTGAAAATATGCTTCTGCGAACTACTGTCCTTCCTGGATCCCTCAATTTCTGCCTTCACAGGCTTGGGGATTTCTCTACCTCACTGCTTTGTGGATTTTCTGATCATTCATGTGAATAGCCTGGCTTGAGTCCCTAAACACTCCCCAAGAGTGCCAAAGCTAGCCTCTGTCATTTTGGAGCAAGGGACAATGAAGCTAAGGCAACCCAAACCCAAATCTCCTTGTGGCTGCTTGTCAGCTCTTTGGTGTGAGAAGAGTCTTAACTTCCCTGGACCTGTTTTCTCAGTGCAAGGTGGAAATCTTACTATGGCCACTTCATGGGTGAGGATTACATGAGATAAAACACGCAGCGCTGAACATTCACATTGCAGGGCACTAACAAAACCTCATCCGCCTCCTTGAATGTCTTCAGAAGCTCCTTGTCTTTCTCCTGGTGGATGCTTTGCCTTCCTCCACCTTTCATCACATCTACACAGGAGGCATCAGTGTCCAACCACGAGTTTTCCTCCCTCTGCTCTCTAGCCTCTTGGCTTCAGAAAGCTCATCAAATGTAGCTGGGTCAGCCTAGTGCAAAAGGACAAACCCAGGCACTGCACCTGGGATCTGGTTTCCCATTCCCCACCTCCTGGGTGTGTGGGACACTTCCATGGGGTAGACTACCTCAGGTTATAATAGTTATTCATTTAGATCAGCCAACTGCAACAGCAATGTATGGCAAGTGCGTAGCCCAATGCTTAATACGACAGTTCCCCACAAACATTATCTGTAGTCAGTATGCTGGATCCTGAAAGTAGGACTTAGCGGCAAGGTTGCCCTCTGGATCAAATGGAATCTTGAGGTTGTGCATTGCAATCCTTTTTTTTTTTTGGCTGTGCACCAAACCCTCATCATTCCTGCTGGTTTCTGAAATCTACTTTGTCATTTTCCTCCTAAACTGGCTCCCAGATGTTTTTCCTTTCTAATACCCTTTGATCCAGGCCTTCTGTCTGCCACTCTTGACTTCATCTTTGACCCATTCCCTTTCTCCAGCAAGTCCCCTCAATTTTCTTCCACCCATGTGAGTCACCAGGTTGCACACACCTTCATCTTCTGTCCATTCCTACTCCTGGTCCTGCCTCTAATTCTGAGTGGTCAGTGTCCCTTTCTTTAACCCCCCTCCCACAATAACCTTCTCACTGTACCTTGAGCTCCTCCACTACCCTGTGAGGTTCCTAGCTGCCAAGTGCTCCAAGCCAAGTGTGCAGGACTTCCTTTAGATTTTATCTTGTAGATTTGGGCTGACATACAAACCCTTAAGGCTTATTTTTTAGTGTGTGAGCAGTACCTCCCAGTCTGTGGTGTTTCATGAGACATGCCCTTCCACTAAAGTTACCAATTAAATGTGTGATGGCCCACAGTGGACTTAGCCTGGGGGTGCTCTGCCTTGGCCCAAAGTTCAGACTTCAGCAAAGAAAGACCCAAGGGTGGCTGTCTCCCAGGCGAGCGATGTTCTTCAGAAGGAAAGAGAAATAATGCCGTTAACATACAAAGAAACTGGCGGAACAAAACCCACCTTGGTCAATGGGAGTAGAAGGCCAATGAATGTCCCCCAGCATTATCAGCTTGACTTCTACATGACAAAAAGTTCTAACCCTAAGTCAACAAAATACTGTGAGGTTCATGGATTATATATGGGAAGGAAAATGTGGAGGACACAGCAAAAACGGTCAAAATCCTTGAAAGCTAGGTGCTGTGGTATTCATCTATCATCCCAGCTGAGCCAAGGAGATGGAGCCAAGAAGACCCCAGGCAGTGAGCAGGCCAGCCTGGGCAACACAGCAAGGCCCTGCCTCAAATAGAATAAGACTGAAAAGGTGGAGGATGCAGTTCACTAGTAAAGTGCCCTCGAGTTCTTTCCCCAATATCTTTTATTTTCCCCATTGGTGAGCATTGGGACCACTTCTGAATCGCATGTGACCTATACTGTCCTGTGTTGTCCTCCACCGGCCTTCATTCTCTTGCCTATAGGTCCAAGGAAACTCAATGACCAATGAAGGGAGTGCACATCCTAAAAATATCCTGAGTCACCATCAGGAAACCTGGGTTTATGCCCATCATGGCCTCTGCTTGCTAGAACTTTTGAGCCAACTCAACCCCTCAGTGGAAGGAGACTGAGGAGCAACCATCCTTGTCCCTCAGTTCTTATCTGAAGCCCACCCACCCCAACCTCTCTTTGATAGACATAGGACTACAGAGCACAGGACATATGACAACTGCCTAGCCCTTCACTAAGGCCTCACCATATTCTAGGACAGCTGTTAGCAGCATCAGGCCTTGTCCCTAGCATGACACCAACTCCTCACCAAATACCTGCTGAGAAGGCTCCCCAGGACTGTGGAAACCCACCTTTTGTTCTACCCCATACACCATAGCAGTAGGCTCCTGGCCTCCCATTCTGGGTGCATTTACTCAAAAGTCCTCTCAGTTGTGGATATTTATATCTTGACACTCAGAAGCAACTCCCCCAAGCACCAAGTACCACTCCTTTCTCACCAGTACAAGGAAGGAGTTATCCTCCACTCCAGAGGATGAGGCCTCTGTTCCCAGCAGCTGAAGTACCATGGAATCCTGACTTCATGTCCATACTGCATGCTTTCCCATTGTCTGACTCTACTGAGCCCTGTCCTTCCACTCCACCCCACCCTTCTTCAATTAAAAGACCTAAATTACCTCTGCACACACTGGGCTGGACCTCAGCTCTTAGTGTTGGCTGAGTAAAATCTGTTTTTTCTGCTCTAACTTAACACTGGCTGTCTGTGCTCTCTCAAGCCAAGGAGACCCTCAGGATTTTTCCAGATGAGAATAGTGCTCATTAGACCCAGATACTTACTGGTTTGGAAGCCTCCAGGCTGGATCACAGAGACTTTTACTCCCCATTTAGAAAGTTCTTGCCTCAAAATTGATGAAAACATGGTCAGCGCTGCCTTCGTTGAGTTGTAAGCGGCCATCTTTGGCATTGGGACTCCTCCTGCAGGGGAAAAAAATCAGGTTTGCTGCTTCCATTTACTTATCCAATAAATATTTGCCCTCTACCAAGTTGCATCCTTGTAAGAGTTATACGTGGTGACCAAAGCAGACAAAAGCAGGCCTGGTCCCTTCACATGCATTCTCACTGCTATTGTGTGGCTTCCTTTGCAGCCACCATTCTTGGCTCTTCCATCGCAGCTGCTACAATGGCTCACCAAGCTGACAGCTCATTTCTGCCCAGATTTTAAGGGAAAAGTCATTGTTGTAGGATAAACAACACCTGTTCACCCTCCCTTAGCCAATCATCATCCTGAAGCTCCAGGTGATTTGTATTTGGCAGGATTCACTATTCCAACAATCCTGTATGGCAAGTATTTGAAAACTGGGCTTACTACCCCTTGCAATGAGTGATCCATCATGGAAAAGCAGAGGGAATCTCAATGCAAATGGATTTAGACTGGGCTGGGCAAGGTAGCCGTTATCCCACCTAAATCACATTTAGCTCAAGAACTGTTGAAATTGACACCTAAACTGGTTGGTCTCACTGGATCAACTAGAAGGCAAGTTGGAATCAAAGGAATCCAGAAAAAGGGACCAGTCTGTGTGTAATGACATCCAGGAAGATATAGTTAGGAGAAATGATTTCTGGGTAAGGTCATTCTGGATTAGGATAGGTCCTAACTCTAATGAAGACTGTTCTTAGAAGAAGCACCAAAAGAGAAGATAGACAGAGACACAGGGAAGAAAACATGTGATCCAAACTGAGACACACTCTTTGTTGGAAACCAATATAAATGATGGAGCCAATACTGTTTTATTATTTATTTCCAGGTACTTAAATGTTGGCACCATTATTGATGGAAGACTAGAGCTTTTAGGGGGTCGCTTTTACTATGACATAAATAAGGTGAGCAGAGAAGATCACAAGGGAGCTAAGAGGGGAGAAGGGAACTGAAGGAGAAAAAAGGGATTAGATGTGGGGAAAATTAAGACTCTATTGCCAAACCTGGCCTCACCCCACTGCTAAGCCAGAAAAATTCTGCCTCCATTTTTGTTGTAATTTAATTTGAGATTTGACCCAGTCATTTTGAAACAAAGGGCCCAAAGGCTTAACTGGTGCAATTTCAGTACAACATCTGGCAGCGAACAGGCTCTCATTAAACTGGTCCTCTTCTTGCCACAGATGACCAGCTGGTCTTTCTTTGAGTGACTCTTAGTTTCATCAAATCTTTGCGTGTGAAATCTAACTCTTTCCTTGTATGGGTGAAAAAAGCCAAAGAAATTAAAACCATTTGTTGAAAGCCACACAGTTAATTGTGTAACAACCATGGTTGATAGAATTAAACCAAGTTTTCACTTCTTCAGGATTTTTATAGACGACAGAGGTTACCAGCCAGAAGGCAGGTGAGCAGAGGGCAGCCATTAAAGTCTGGATTGTGGAGCCAACACCGTCTGTGTGAGGGTCCCAGCTCTACCGTGGCTGAGCCACCTGTCGTGGGGAAAGTCACTTTACATTTATGGGCATGGCCTTTTAAAATTTAAATGAAGAATAATATTGTAGTGCATACATCTTAGGAGGTCCTGTGAAATTTAAATGAATTAATATATTAGCATAGAGCCTGGCATAAAGTAAGCTCCAGGCAAAGATTTCCTGTTATTGGTGCTACTCAAGTTATTCACAGTACCAGCTTAACAGCCCAAAAGGCTCCATATGCTCAGTGTTTCGTAGAGTACTAAGTGCACCTGCTTCAGCATCTCTGGCAGCACACGTTCACTATGTGGATTGTTAAGGTCCACCCTGCACCTGCTGAACCAGAATCTGCATTCCACATCATTCAGACGAACACAAGGGAATACGAAGTACTCAAGTACTAATGGATGGGCACACATTTCTGAACATGTGTTTTCATGTTGACACTCTGCCTTATGGATAATAAGAGCTTCTGGCTTGAATATGTCCAGGACCTGGGTTTGACCAACCACACACAGCCTGCAAACCCCCTACCTCCACTTCATAGGCGCCCTGTGAACACTCCTCCCCCACCCCTGCCTCTTCTGCCTCCATGAAGCAGCCACTTGGTGCCTCTATTCCCTACCTATGTCTGCTGCCTGGCAAGTGAATATATCCAGCATTCACTGTTGATCACTCCAGCAGTCCTCATCCTGTCTTTTCTTTTCAGAGAAACTCACTGTGGGTGCTAGGCTTAAAATGAGACACTTGAAGTTATCTCTTGGGAAATTAAAAAGACTTGTGGAGACTCTCTTTGTCCAAGAAGAGGTTCTGACATGGGCTTAGTCTGACTGTTGGCATGGCACATGCCACTTAGCCGTCTACCCTCAGGCTCTACCAGCTTGATATCTGTTGAGGTAACAACATAGGACCTCAAAAACTCTTCGCAGTAGTAATGATCAACCCCTACATGGAGACTCCTCTATTTATTACCTGAAGACAACATGCAGCTGCATATGAGTTATGAGAGAGAAAGGGATCTGTGAATAAGTACTCTATTAACACAAGGAGGGCATGCAGAAGTATCTTGGTCTTTCAGCCTGGGGCTGTGCAGCAAGGGTACCAAAGTCCTCTGCCACAGCGGCTTACTCATTCGATGGTACATTTCAAAGTCAGGATCAGCACGACCTCGTCTCAGGAGAATATCATGGGGGTTCTAAACCCATTCCTGCCTCCTGCAAAGAAACCAGGTCAACTGATGTAATAAAGTTCATTCCTCTATTGCTCTTTTCCAACCTGAAGAATACAAGTCAGTCTCATACAGGAGGGTTAGGTTTGCAAATTCCCACTATGCGTGCTTGGAAGAAATTCAAATCAGCATCAGGTGGCTTCCTGCTAACCTGATGGTCTCTGAAGCTGTGGCAAGCTGCTCGGCATCAAGATCAAAGTCTAGGACCTCATTATTCCAAGTGTGAGTGAGAACCAGCAGCAGCACCAGGGAATGTCTTAGAGATGTGAACCTCAGGTCCCGCTCCATACCCATCAAGTCAGAAATTCTGGAGGTAGAGCCCAGAAAAATTTTACCAGAGTAAAAAATAAAAATAAAAATTATAT